CAAGAGACACATTTTAAAAGTTAGATAATAGCCTTGTAGGCTCTTCGTCTTCTACCATGAGACTAATATTCTGCAGTTTACTATGAAGGGCACTCAGAATTTTCAGAATTATTTTTGTCCTTTAAAACTTAACAGAGAAGAAACTTGCTTTTATGAACTGTAACTTCTCTTTTCCTTTTTAAATTACCTTTGCCATAAAATAGTCCCACATGCTGAGCTCTGGAGGGATAAACTTTTCCTTGTACGAGGGTCTTTCAGCAGGTACAGGTGGTGGTACAGTGCTATCTTTTACTGGTCTTCCTGGCACTAACATCCTCATATTAAACCGACGGCGATGTTTATCCATTTCTTCTGATGGAAGAGGTGGTGCTAAATTCAGGTAATGTGAAAAGCTAATATTAAAATTGCATCTTTAGAAATGGGTGTATTTTATCATTAAAGGAACTAATTGCTACTGATTCAGAAATCAAAGCCAGCCTATATAAAGTAAGTGTAATCTTGCAAAAAATTCACTTGTAATAAATTCAGTAACTGTGACATTTATACATTGGATATGTCAAGAGAAATACATTTTATTGTCTGGATTAAATTCTCAGGAGATGCAGCTTTTAAATAAAAAGCTTTTAGCTGAAAAATTTCTCAAGAGAGAAATTAAGAAATTTGGTTGAGAAATACAAGTAATATATAAAATCTCACTAAACTGCAAACTGCACAAGGAGCAGTAGTTATTCAAAATATAAGCCATGGAATTCTTAAGATAGTATAGAAGATTTGAATAGAGACAGGCTCTTTGACAGCTAAAGTTTAGTTTAAAGTGTTATGATTTAAAACGTCTTAATAGTTATCAAAATATTAGTGTGGAATTTGTTTTTCAAAGTGCTATTGGTCAGGCAACGTTGAAGATCACACTTACTTTATCACAAAGGAGCTAGATATTTAAAAACTTTTTAAAAAAGCCACTACTAACATTCATCTACACTGCAAGATTTTACAAACCTTCATTACCATCCTCTGAAACATCAGAAGCTGTAGCAGCTTGTAGGTCAAAGGGAAACAGAATACATCTCAAATGAAGACAGGACTGTAAGTTATCCGTATTAACATCTTGTGAAAAGAACTGGCCTAAATGAGTTTAAGTTATTCCACGAACGATAAATATCTGTTGTGCATACTTATAATGGTGCATTGCCTTATTACTGTTTTGGTTTATATTTCAGATATAGAACATTGATTTTTTTGCAATAGTTTCAAGCCTATCGTTATTGTGAAAGTCTGTGTGACATGATTTTAGAGCGTTGTTGCAGTGTGAACTCTATGACAAATGGTTGTATTTGCCTTTGTCTCCAGAGCCTGAATTCAGTCTCCACTTTTGCTTTTCCTCAGGCAGCATATTAAGACATGGCTCATCTGTCTTTGCAGAGCTCCTGGTTTTAGTTGGAGTTTACATATGCATGAACTATTTTTCTGACAGATGAAGTTGATATTTTTTTTCTCTGTGGCCTTGTGCAAGGTGAAATCGTATCTTGCAGTAGAAATTGGTTTCAGAAATACTGTTTCCAAATCACTGCAGTCTAACAGTAACACCGATCTCTCACATACAAAAAACCATAGGTGCTGACTCTGATTTATACCATCTGTTTTTTCACTAAAAAAATAATAACTGAAAGTCCTGAAAAGTATTACAAGTAAACATTTAATCCTGATATCATCAGCTTTTATAGAAAATTCAAAATGTGCTGGTTGCCATTACAAAAAACAACTGCAAGACTAATAATTTTCTGCTTTTTAATTAAGGTAAGTTTTCTTGTCAATAGATGGTTAAATTCTGCTTGCTTGTTTTTGTCTTTAAAAGGAAGGAAATCTCTCCTACTAGTTTACTAAAAGGTATAAAATGTAAATCATTAGTATGACCTTTAGAAAACAAAGTACCTGGAATATTTTCTGACTGTCTTCGAGGTTTTACAAGAAGTTTCACTCCTCCACCAAAAACAGCAGCCCACATTCGACTGTTCAAAGGATGGGCTGCTAGTCGAAATAATTCATTACATGAATTGGTTGCAAGGGCGTGTATAAGGAGACTCAGGTAGACAGCTACAACAGCTTCACAAAGGAGGATGTTTAACTTTGGTTGATCTTCATCCTGAGCTGAACTTAAGAGATTTATAAGTGAACTCACACCTGCAAAGAGAAAAGAGGAAAAGCTTATGTTAAATGAGTAAGAGTACAAATGGAAAAAAATGAAATGTTTCACCTCTACATTTTATGTTAAACACATACTAACAACTACATGACACTTTTATTCAGATGAATCATACTATGTTTCTTAAAATAATAAAAATTAAGATTTTAAAAAGCCACCTTGGGTCTGGGACTTTGGGGTTGTGCCCCTCTGCAGCTTGCCTGTGAAATTCCAGCACTGTTTCCACAGCTGACCTCAAAATACTAACTTCATGCTCACATGTTGGAGCAGTTGTTTTGATGGCTATACCAAGTAAAGCCGAGATGTAAGACAGTACTGCAGAAAGAGCTTACAGAAAGAGCTTTGCTGGGGGGTGAGGCAGACTGGAGGGAAACATTTTAGGATTATAGATTATCAGTTTATTGAGTTTTTCCTAAAGATCGTGGTCTCTTCTTCAAGCAAGATGTTTCCCATATAGAAAACTTATTTTTATTTGTTTTGATATGTGAAAAAGTTAAAGGCTGTTAATAATTTGAAAACTAAATCAGAAACACTCATCTGTCCTTGATCATCCATCATATTACCGGACAGTGAAATAATTTTTAAATGTGGAGCTGGTCCTGTGGTGCTAAAAGTAACCTTATTTTTGTCTCACCAGGCCACTGAGCAGGAGATGAGTTTGGAGTTGCATGCTCTTCAATACTTTCTGTCCTCAGTCTGCGTCGATCGCTCAGAAGCAGTCCTTGATAAACCATCCCCGTAAACTGATTTGCTTCTGTTTGACTGCTAAATACAAATTAATTTTTTTCTGATGAGAAAGGATTTTTAGAATATGTTTTTCACAGAGTATAGTGTATATATATATATATATATACACACACATGTTTTGGGTTTCAATTAGAAAATGCAACATTTAAAATTCCGTACGAGGAAGTCAAGAATTGTATGATTTCATGGTGTACAAAACATTCTTTTAATTAAAACTTTAAATGTGTCCATGTGGCATTATCAGTTTTAATGTGTGTAGCTCTAGGTATGAAAAAGGCTTTTTCAAAAATTTTTATAATGTGTTTGTTCTGATGAATTTTTTAAAATGTTTTTTACAACATTCTCTTCCAGTTTGGAATAAAAACTGACTGAAATCTGACTTCAATTAGGCTCACATGTTTCCCCTGCATCCCTATTCAGCAATGAATGTGCTGTAGAAAACAGCATTCAAATATTTTTTGGAAGCATTGCAAGTGAGAGTGACACCAGATTTTCCTATTATTTATTGGAAAAAAAAAAAAAAAAAGTCTGAATGATTTTTGTAATTTTATCTGTGTAAAACTGATCAGACATCTCAGTGCTAGCAATGTGTAAACTGTGTAAGTACCTACACCTCTACACAGATATTTATTCCCTTTTTTAGACACATGCATGAAGAATTTCCGATTTGGATACATGAAGTACTCCAAATGTAAGAAAACGTCTGGTTTTACCTGTAGCTGTGGCTGTCACATAGTGCTTGATAAATAGATGCAGAAAGTGAAGCTGCTAAAGAATGAAGTGTGTACACCTAAAATAAAAAAAGCCAATAAGTTTTATATAAAAGCTGTGTAAACTACAATTCTTTCTAAACAGCACCGGAAATGTCTTCATTTTAAACCAAGTGCAGGAAATAGTAACGTGACTGAAAGTTTATAATATAGTACTTTGAAGATCACAACTGTTTGCTCAGGATCAGTTGAACGCAGTCAAAACCTCCTAATATTACGTCAAGATAATGAACTTTGTTCTAACAAATGAGTACACTGAAGGAGTGATTGAGTAGGTCCTGTTACGATAATGAATTTGATAGAATGGTTCTTGGCAGCTGTATTCTAGAACACTGCAGTTCGGTCTAGTAGTTGCTCAGTATGCATAAAATACAAATGTTTGTGTAATCGTTGGTTTATCTATACTGTCGTTTTTTACCTCAGTTATGTGCTTATAAATTTCCAGGAGTAACAAGAATAATACTCCAGTATTGCCTCACAATGCAACAGAAACACTCCAGTTGTCAAACAGAAGAAATGCAAGAATTTCTTAGAAAGTCCAATGAAATCCACAGTGTGAAGAAAATGGTACTGTCAAACTTAAAGATGTAAACTTTTTAAAACCCACTCTAGTGTTCGATTCCATCTTTTCCTACCATCTTTCCATTTAATCAAAAGTTAGACCTTAGATTAGAGCTATGAATTATGTAAATAGTTGGGTTTGCAGTTAGGAGGTGTCAGCTCTTCTTCCTGAATTCTCTTTTAAAACAAAATGCATGTGAAGTATGAGTTTTTAGAATAAGAAAGATGCTTGCTGTAGCATAATGCAGGAAGGAAAAGGAGTCAACGGATAAAAGAGAGAAAATGAGATGTAAATAAGCTTGGGTACAGTTTTAGAAACTTAACTGCATTGCAGTGGGACAACCCATTTAGTTTCCTAATTTTTCCCTACTTTCATTTAGTCAATAGAAATTCAAAATGATTTAATGAATATGAATACTGATCTAAATGTACAAAATAATGATTTAGTTTCTTACTAATTAACTGTGTCAGACTCAGGCTCTTTAGCTTTTTTCTCCCCTCTATTTACTGAATCTGAACAGAATTTATTCACTCCCAAGTATGGAGTCAGATAAAGTAATTTGCCAAGATTCCTTAAAACCCAGTACACTTGAGGAAATTTGCACTAGAGTAACGTTCCTAATATCTATATTAATAGGTTATAACATAACTTACAGTCTCCCATCTCTACTGTCATTAATCTCCCTACAGGATTTAACCAGACCACAATGACAATGATTAGTAGTTTTGAGTAGTTTCCTGAGAATGACTAGAATTTGGATGAAAGGGAACGAACCAGATTCAAAAAGATGTCTGAAAGCAAGTAGTTAACTAGCATTTTCACCAGACTTAAGGGAGAAGGTCAGTACTATGAAAGGGTAAGTGCTGAAAAGTTAACTCAAACTTTGAGTCAACTTAAACTTTTTTATTTTTTGCATGCTCGCTCCCCGTTTTAGCAGTTCCTGAAAGCTGTTCATTACCTTGACATCTTCGATATTCGGATGTGGTGGTGATTTCATCTGCACAATAGTGTAAAGGATATCATGGATGTGGTTGTTTAAATACAGCACAGGATTAGCTATCACAGTTTTTGTGGATGCTATGCTTGCAGAAAGCAACGGTAGTGTGGTGGGTAATGGAAGTGGAGATTGAAGCTGTTTTACAGTAGTTTCCTGTGGAAAAGAAAAGACTGTATTTAAAATTACTGCTTTTGAGGAAAAAAAAAAGTTTTAAAAAAATTATAATTTTGCATCTTACATTTTTTTCCCAGGGTAATTTATCTTCTTCCACTGTTGTCTACTCCATACAGACAAGATTTTACCATGACTGATGTCAAAAGTAAGTTCTTACTATAACAACACGGATCAGACCAAGTTTGCTGTAACACTTTTTGATTTAGTGCAGGAACAATATTTTTATGTAATTCATTAGGAAGCGTTGGGATTGTCTGGTAAACACTAACTAAAAATGCACTTGTAGTAGCGTAAGTTGACATGATATTCACTGGTCTGAGTTTAACAACAGAGGTCAAATTTGCATTAATCTCAGCTTTTCAAGTGGAAACAAACAGAATGTTTTTTCAATTCTTAAAAAGTATGTGCTAAGTCTAATACCACCAAAACATTTGTCTACTGCTCCTATTTGAAATTTGAGAAACCTGGAACTAGAGCAAGCTAAATGACTTGCCCAGTATCAGATTATCTGCTGTAGCTCAGGTTAGTCTTTAACATTTGCTGGAAAAGATCTCTTTTTGTATTAAATAAATGTAGAAAATGCAGTAATATAAGTAAAACAGGGAGCACTGCCCTGTCTGACTTGGTATTATTTGTTGAGCCTTGCAGCTAAGATCCCATTCCTTTTAGCTCCTTTACATGATTTGCAGAGGTGTAGGGGATGAGATTTTGTCTTATTTTAGCAACTGTGCATTTATTATATAGGTACCCAGAATATTGTGATCAAAATTATAATTTCATTGGAACAACATATAATGCTGCAGCTATAATCTAAACAGCAACATTTATGTTCCATAACTACAGGTAAGCTAATCCTCAATGTTATGTAACAGATTCCTAAGAACCATTTAATGAGTATGTGGACAAGCAGCACATTTAAATACCAAGTTCCTTCTCCAAGAACATTAAAATGATCTTGACCATTAGACTTGCAGACTTAAGAAGCCTCCATCTAGGCACAAACTTAAGCATTTGACAAAACTGTCCAGAACTTGTGAACAGAAATTAATTCAGTGTTTTACCTGCTGTGACTCTTGCAGCAAGAACTTCAGCTCCATTCTTACAGATGCTAAACCACCACCTTGTGCCCCGTGAAGACTACAGTAACTTAGAAAAACTCTTAAAAGAGCTTGGTTCTTCTGCAGCCACCACTTTCGTCTCTCAGCATGTTCTCGTTTCGCCTGTAACCGACGTCGTTCTATCTGGTGCCGTTCATACGAACCAATGTCTGGCTTATCCATAATATCATCGTGATCGAGTAGATCCCCATTTACTTTGGTATATGTTTTACAATAGTCTTTGCCCCCTGCGTCATGGTTGCATATTTCATGCATAGCAGCAATCTCTTTTTCAAGCCAGTTGTACAGCTGAAATCTGAGCTTTCCTCCATCTACTTCATAACCAGTAGCCAAAGTCCTCAGTTCAGTCATAAGGATCTTCAGACAGGCTCTGAACTTCAGTTGTTCAGCAATAACATCAACCTCAGTGTCTCCTGCATCAGAAATCTCCCCGTGTGGTGTCTGTGGGATGTTGGTGTCTGAGGTTCTCTCACCGTCATCATCTCCACTCTTAGAATCAGATTCTGATTTTTTCATCATTATACCAACATCCTTGTCCTCTTCGTCTGACCCATTTTTGTCTTCACCCCAATCAAGAGTAAGGGGCTCATCACTGAACTTTACTGCTGGTTGACTCCAGTCAAATTGTGCTGAAGAATCAACAGGATTCTCCAAAGCAAAGGAAGTTGAAATTGGCTTTGACCAGTCTATATCAGCACTTGCAGCACCATCCCCTAGAGCTTTGGAATCTGAAACACCAGCCTGCACTGGAGAACTAGATGAATCTTTCTCTGCAGCTACAGCAGACTTTTTTCTTACTTTTGGAATTTTGGAAAGGACTTCAAGAGCTAGTACAGGGCAGCCCACTTTAAAATGAGCATTTGCAGTAGTGAAGAATAATTTTCTTTCTATAAGATTAATTTTATCAACAAAGCTTTTCTCAGTTTTTAGACCTAAGGTGGCCAAAGTCCCTTCAGGTGAGCTGAAGTATCTTCGGATGAGCAAAGGGTGGGTCCGAAGATAATTGTAAAAACTGAATACCACAGGATTGCACGACTTGACGATAACTAAAGAATTAAACAGATAAGGACATCTATTGAAAACGGCTTTAAAATGGTATTACTTTGGTTTTGCAGTATTTTCTGCATTACAGAGACTTGTCAAAACACAAGTTTTGAGTCCAGTTGATAAAACAAAATGAAATAATTACTTACTCCCCACAAAAAGATTAAAGGTATAAGAGGGATGAATAGAAAGATACTAAATTATCTCATTTGCCTCACTGTTACATTCCACTCAGCTAAGCCTGAAAAAAAGGTGAGATGACTGGCCAGGTAGAGATTTCCCCAAGGGAGGGAATATGCGACAGAAACTTATGTAGCCACCTGTCACTTAACATTAATCTCAGAAGAGGCAGGACAGGAAATCCTGCTAGAACACTGCTAATTCTTAGAAGCAAGAATGAGAATTTAAGTCCACTGGAATAACGACTAGCCAGCATTCAGTAGTAGAGGGGTATCGTGGGGAAGTACCAAACAAAAAGGGCCTCCTGAGCTTATCTAACAGCAGAACTAAATTCGGTATTAGGGGGCTGGAGACAAGTCCTTGGAAAAGATTTTTTTTAAGAAGTAGAAATTGAGCAGGCCAGTACGTAAGTCAATTAATGATTTCAGCATAATGGCATCTCAGGAGAAAGGATTGCAAGCACGTACAAAAAGTATTTCTCCTTCTCTACTTTGTCTTAGTAAGTTTGTCCCAGACAAATAATATTTTTCCCTTACCTGGGTTTTCATCATCATCTTTAGGTGTTTGTTCCAATAACGTGTCCAGTGCTCTAGTGTAATCTTTCATTATCCAGTATGCAATGCTTCTCAGAAATGGATCAGAATGCAATTTAGTACAACTGAACCCAGCTCCATCCTTAGAGCAACCCAAAATCTTTTCATAAAGAATGGAGGTGTATGTGACAGAAGTTTCAAACTCTGATTCGTATAAACGAGCAATAACCATAGCCAACTGGATGTCTTCCATTTTCTCAAGGCACACCTATGATAAGAAGTGAGGAAAAGGTTGCTTTAGGAGGGTAAAGTAGTTTTTTTAAATAACAGTGAAGTGAACAGTGATGTAGGTTTACAGAACAGATAATTTTTTAGTATATATTCATCTTAGGGACAAAAATGTGGTAACTGATATGTATCTAAGTAACATTTTCTTCTGTTTGGAAAAAGGTGCACTTTCTCCTATTTCAGGAATCATTCTATGCATAGCAGTACATCAGCAGGTCAAAAATTAATATGGCAGAAGATAAAAATGCTTTCGTTTTATTCTACCTAGTAGAATAAACATAACTTCAAACTTTAATGTTAATATATCACTGGTAAGATATTCTTCATATTGTCTCATCTGCAGAATGACATCTCTGAGGAAAATTCTTTATGTTCTCAGGTAAAGGCAAACATACTGCATATAAATAGGCAGGATCCCTAAAGGTTCTCTAATTTCCATTCTCTCCTGAGAGGTACTGCTTCGGTTATGATCCTGCTCACAGCTCTCGCCTCCTTTGTGGCAGGCAACATCACAGCTCCACTAAAAAGGGATCCTATGGCCACTTCAGAAGAGAACTCTGAATTTTTTTTTTTATTTAATGTAGCAACAATAGGTCATGCAGAATAGCTGGAGGCTGAACAGACTGTTACAACTTAACTGTGCTGATCAGAGAGTTTTGCCAGAATTGTCATGACTGGTATTCCTAAGAGTGCTTCCACTGAGGACTGATGTATCTGAACAAGGATTCTGGCCTTGAGATCAGCTTCCAAGCTGCTTTTCACAGATAGCATGGAGGTAAATGGTATGTCTACAGGGCACAAGGGGGTCATGTGTGGACATACCATACCATCTGTGGTGCCACAAGTTTTGAAAACATCAGCAGAGCAGAGCTTGTAAGGATGCAGTGACATAGGTCAAATTAGAAACCGAAATTTAATTTCTCAAAAGTCAATACCTCTATAGCATCTTTCAGTGAACCTGCTAGCAAGAAAAACGCAGCTGATTGTTCAAAGCGTTGTTTTCCCAACAAAGCAAAGGCGTTTTTCAAAGCAGCTTTGCGCCACCTATCTTCACTGAAGTTGTGGCTGAAAAAGGCAGTCATCTTCTCATCGTGCTGGGACCTGCACAAAGAAATGCATTACTTATTTTATAACCTTGGCATACATTCACAGGAACAACATCATTTTAAATTAAATTCTAATCTTGAATGAGTTCTGCTTTGCATTCCCAGTTCAATTAAGATTTAATCAAACTCAGAGTTAGCAGAACTCACCTAAACAGACCCCACACCACTGCTTTTTTCTTCATAGCAAGGTAAAAAAGCGCAGCATCTAAGGCATCATTGTTCCTCTGGAATGAAGCTTTTGCAACCTGTAGTAAACAAAACCTACTATTATTACTGAAAATATAATTTGGCTGCTTTTAGCTAAATAACGTACATTCTCTGTCAGGGAGGATGGTCCAAGTGGCTGTATTATTTCCACAAAGCAACAATAATTTTTGTCAGAATGTTTTATCCGTATGTGACAGCTCTCATTACGCTGTAAATGTTCTTAAGCAAAGCAGCACTACTGCAGATATCAACCCCTCTCAACCACAAAGGGACATAACAAATATGCAATTAAAAATATTTTCTTTGAAAGTGATACAGGAACCCATACTATTATGTGAAATTCCTCTTGCAATCCATTATTTACATATAGTTAAGGTAATAAAAATATTTATTTAATGAACACTTTGGGTTTTGTGTAGGATTCAGAGATATAATTGCATTGGAATTGGAGTACTAGGATAATTAAGTTTTGCTCCTGGATGTTTTGAGTGTCCTGTAACTTTTTTAAACACGTGTTTAGAACAGATGACTTGGAAATTTAGGAAACTAGTAAGTACTTCTGTTCCACAGACGTTTCAGAGATTGCTCTATTTATTGTAATTCAAAGCAAAAGCTGGTAATTATTCAAATCCATCAAACTTCAAGTTACATGAAAGCTGAAATTCTTGTTAAAGCAAGAATTTAAATCTTATTGGTAGCAACAGGAGCCAGTTTTAGATATTATCTCAAAAACATATTGCATTTTATCCATTATTAGACCTCCCCTAAGAAAGTTCTGCATGCAAATGAGATTTGGTGTTATTTTGGCTTTACATAATATAGGTGCATATTTCTATAAAATAGTCATTTTGTGACTCTACAGAAGAGTAAAACCTGATTTTATTTCTATAGCATTTAGCTTGATTAGATACTGCGTTTAGTTCTATAGTACTCCATTAAACATACAGAATTTGCAAAAGACCTTTATATAGTTTTTACTAATATTTTGACATATATTTGTTAAATAAAAGCCACTGAACTCAAAGCATAATTCCCTGTTCAATGTACAGGTATCTACTGTCTCATATATCTGAAAACAAGATGGTTCTTAAAAAAAAGTAATTAATCTGTAACTGTAAAAGTGGCAGGGGGGAGAAATTAAGTGCTTCCGAAATAGATTTTCCCTAGATCAATTGTATTATACCACACTACTGAATAACAAAATTTGTAAGCCAGGACTGCCAACATGAGTTGGCACAGAAAAATTAGTTACAGAGTCCTCTGGCTGGGCCTGAGTACAAAGGAACCTGCTATATACAAGTCACTGTGTGTATCTGTTAGAGCTACAACTTGTAAGCAATCAAAAGTACCTTCTCAATGCACCTTCGGAGTGTGTTGATATTCCTGACCCACCAACCAATACCCATAGCTCTTAATTCAGACCACTGTGGGTCTCCCTTCTGGATAGCAGGAATCATATTGATCAACTCCTCCTCAGCCTCAGAATGAAAAGCCCATGCAAAATGGCAAGTAGATAAGCCTAAACAGTAACATAATAAAATTCAGAATAGTGAGACTTGTTAATAAGCAAATGGAGTATGTCAGAGTTGCAAAGTGGGATGTCCAACCCAAGAGTTAGGTAGATCTGAGAGACTGTTTCCCTCAAAAGGAAGTAGAGCTGCTAAAGGAACAGCTGAAATATCTTTTTGCTCCTTAGGGATGTCCTCAGTGCTTCTTTCATCATGTTCCAGTACCCCATTCATACATGTACTGGAGTTACATGGTGAAAGACTGAAGGAGAAATGTTCTGTTATCAGAGACAGACCCATTCTGGGCCAGAAACCTTTGTTTAGGTGGTTAACTAACTTTCCTGCATTTCACAACAGCATTTACTCAGATTGAGCAAGGGAAAAAAACCTGCTGTGAGGACAGAATAAAGTCATCTTTAAGGTAAGAAAAAGCCATGCTCATATGAAGCAGTATCTTAATTCCTCCAGCAAAACCAGTGAAATACATACACAATCTGTATGTTACCTGGTTGGGGAACTTATTCCTGCCTCAAACTGAACGGGGCAGGAGCTACCTTCTGTTCAAGCTATACTTTTTGCTTAGTATAGGGAAGCCTCTACTAAGCCTCTGCAAGATAAAAGCCTTAATGAAATACGTATAATCTAGAATTAATATGCAGATAATCAAAATATTGTAATATTATAAATCAAAATGCTGTCAGCTCAAGTGGATCAAATTAAATCAATCCTTCTCTAAGAATTACCTTGGTGAAGCAGCTGAACTCGATACAGAGGTGGGAGTGATGTCAGGAGGCAGGTGTGCAAGCGCATAGCCAACAAGTATCGTAAGCCACATTCATCTAAGGTATCTCTTCCTGTGAAATACGAAATACTCACTTTTGAACATACAGGTGACCACAGGAGGTATATATACATTTCCTCATACACTGCATATGATAAGTTGTGTGTTTCTGAACTTGCTGAGAACCTGAACTTACAAGTTATTTATTATATATGAAATACAACTAGAGACTGATATTTAAGTGTTTCTCTTTCTTACTGTATCTACTCTGAATAACTGATGGTAGCTTTTAGCTTTGTTATCCCCAAATACCCAAGGACTAAGTTTACCTTTGCTTAGAACAAGAATGTTAATCCAGTAATATGTCAGACACTAACCTGAATAATTCTTATCTCTGTTCTCATCTAGTTCAGTGCTTGTCGTGGCCACGGTGTCTGCCAAAGCTACGAGGAACATCTGCTCCAGTCGAGTGAGGCCTGGCAGACTTGAGTGCATCAGGTGGCTTGAAAGGACACTGGCGTGTTCTCGGCCAAAGTAAGTTGGACCATACTGAGACAAATTAATAACTTTGGATTTACTCTCCCTCTTTTCAGGCTCAAAATCAATAAAGTCTTCAGTTGTAACAGGCTGAATCTGGAATAGATCCGAGTATTGATCCTCTGTTTTTCTCTTAGCGTGATCTTCAGAGCCCTGAGGTATTTTAGACGTTTCTTCAGAAACATAAGTGGCATCTTGATCCGCAGCAAGCAGCGCGTACAGCGGCAGTGGTGGAATGGAGTCTATCTCTGTATAGTCTCGAGTACCATCTTTTCCAGCTGTGATGGTATCCTTTGCAGTACTACCACTCACACTAATGGTGCGAGAAAGATGGCGTTTAGGACCAGTTCCTTCTCCAGCTTCTGTATCTTTAACTATTGCAACTTCTCCTGCAATGCATTTAACTAAATGCGATAGAATGGCTTTGGCTCGGCGAACTTTCCCCAAATCCATAAGTTCTAATAACTGGGTCGGATGATACTGGGGTAGAGTAGGTGAAAGAACATGAGCAGCTTCAAAAAGGCCCCCATCCTGAATTACAGTTGGAGTGCCAAAAACATCATCTACAATACCTGCCCCATCAATTACACTGGTCTTCTTTGCTATCAAGCTTGTTTTGAGTGGATCTTGTGTTGTTGAGTCTTCGGTGGTAAAAACTTCACTTTCTCCATCACCAAACTTGACAGCGTGTTTCCACTGGGCATAAACATGCATTTCACAGTCCATTCCCACTACCAGTATACCATCTCTCACCCAGGACAGAGACACAGGCAGTGAAGGAGTGCCATCTACAGATGATACCAAATCAATTGATCTAAGCAACACCCACTTTGACTTGATACCTTGTTTTATGCTACCACCTAGTGGTAAAGTAATGACAGCTACACCCTCTTTGCTGCTCGTTTGATCTGTTACAATTCCTGAAAGCCTTCCGTACATGAAGATGTTGGCACCAACTCCAACTGTCAATATATGTGAACCATCCTCTTTTGATACCCAGTCCAAATGCACCAAATGCTTGATACTGGGCACCAGGTATTTGTCTTTATTCAAAAATGCATCTGATTTACTGTAAACAAATAAATTACTATCTACACTGACCCTTGAGTCAAGTACACTTCCAACCTTAACTAAGTCATCCAGATGAATTGTCTGTTCCAAAACCCATTCTGATCCTCCTGTAGACTCACATTCAAGTATACAAACATGCATGGAAAATTCTTTGGAAATGAAACCATTATGCTGTACGGGTTGTTTGTATGCTACTGCAAGACGTCCTGTGTAAGAACAGCTCACGGCAACTGGCCTTCCCACTATGCTCACTGTACTGCTGTTGTCTTCTCCTTCATCGTTCATTAAAGGCCATTTTCTCCAATGATATGTTTCCCTTTCTTCATTTTTGCTGTTTAGGTTTGTCTCTACAGTACATCTCCAGAACCGCACTCTGTTGTCTGAGCATGATGTCACTATCAGATACGGTGCAAGGCAGACTGGGTATATTGATGAAGAACTCAGGTGACCTGAAGTTAGAACAAACATATTTACTTACAGTAATATAAAGCAGAATGCCTATATGAATAAGGCAGACATACCACTGTCTAACAACTGATAGGGAACTTTACAACGTGGCGTTATTTTTCTAATTTGGAGTTGGGTAAGGGCAAATGTGTTAAGACTGATAGCAGTCTTGCAGCTTGAACATTACTAATCATCTGCATTTCTTGTCACTATTCAGAGAAGCTGGAACTGAACTTATTCAGAGAAGGCTTTTTAGAATGATGAGAGGAATACAAAGCATTAGTCAGATGAGACCAAGGAAGTTAAAATTGGGTTCCTATAGTCTAACAAAATGAAACCGAAGAGGGAAGGGAAAAAACAAAAAGACAAGACAGACACAGAAAGATAGACAAGAATTAGAAGGTGTAAGTGCACCAGGTAAAAAAAGCACTATATAGCCAACACATGACTGCTGGCAGATGAACAAGCAGGTATAAATTGCTCATTAATAAATTAAGGCTAGAAGTTAAGTTTCCAACTAAGTTTCAAGAGCTTTCCTGTGGGGACCCGATACACTTACAAAAGGGTAACATGACATGGACACAATGATTTGAGAGTGCCTTTTTAGTGCCATGTTCCCTGTATCAGTACATCAGAATGGGATAGGCTGAGGAGATACAATCCTATCAACTAGAAGGTAAATTAGTGGACCAACTAAATAGAAAAATATGTTAAATTTACCTGCAGAAGGAGTTGCTCTTATTACTTCTACACCAACAGGAAGATCCAGAGGTTGGCTATACACGAGTCTGGAGCTCAGAATGAGTTTACTAGCAGTCTGAAGATTAGCAATTGATGAAGATCGTGGAATGGGACTCATGCCAGGTGATATATCCGGAGAAGAATCCAGAGTCTTCTGCTCAGGTACACTAAGCTTATTCTCTGAAGAAGCAGCTTCAGTTGGTTTTGCTATACAAAAAAAAAAAATAAAAATCACACAACAAGGTTTTTTTTAGCAGTGCCTAAGTTACACAGAAAATAATTATGCGATGTGTGCAGGCGTTAGTTTTACTGCATGCTGTGACTATTCATTTTAAGATACCCATAATATTCTGAAATACTGATAGTTTAAAATAAAGAATCTGGTGCTTAAGTACATTACTCTATCAACAAATGTTTATATTGCTGTTGGTATAGAACACAACCAATGTTTGTAAGGAATCTTACTGCTTTTATTGCATTGATAATCCAAAGATTCCTGGCTTTGAGGCTTCGGCTTGACAAAGGTGATAGAATGTGTTTTAAAATAAACCACCAAGCTTTAAGTTTTATTTAAAATAATATGAAAGCAATGTCTGTCTCTAAGAAGATTACAGACACTCACTCACCTAAACAGGCTTGCACAGATTTGAGATGAAGATGCCACATCTGAAGAACAGAGCAGCCATCACTATCTTTTTCAATTACTACTAGGTAGAACTTTTCTGAGAAAGGTGGTGGACGATACCCTGTAATTTAAACATATTATCACTGTTATGAAATTTATGTGCAACATAATTTTCAATTACAGAAGACTCTCTTAAAAATTATTGATGCTAAAAAAACCCCTGTTTTCTTCTTTGAAAGAAACTGCTTGCTTATAAAACAAAATATTCAAACAGCACCATTAATAACATTTTTTAATTAACATTTTGTCTCCTCATGGCTACAGAAGAATTACAAAAATGAAGAGATAGGCTGGCTTACAGACAACCTGAGTATTAGTGGCAAATCTAGTTTATTAGATCTATTTCCCTTCCCGGACAGTTTGAATTATTTTGCCAAATTGTAAAGGCTCTATCCCACCTGCCTGCTTTCTTCCTTTTCAAGTTTTAAGTCTAATACCTAATTCCCAGCTACTTTCTACTGTATTAACATGGAGGTCTGATATATTTACCTTATCACCTGGAACTACTCGTTGATGCAGAAAACACACTTCTATTTTGTACACATTTTTGTGTATAATATATGGCATTTTTAAAAATCAGCTCTGTGATATAAGTTAAAATCTTTCACTCTAAGCAAATTAGAATGCCTTTATTTAATAAGCAACAATTTGTATGGGCAACATGAAACAGCCACTTTACAGGATTCTACAGATTCTCATTAAAAAGGAAACTAGCACATGCTATCTAGATTTTAGTATTTTTTAGAAACATTTTTGGTACCTACTTCATCCATAGTAGTTACTTTAATGCTATACCTTGTGACGGCTGGAAAAATATCTCCGTTTCCTTCCCTTCCACGTCTTCCTTATGCGGTTTGTATCCCAAAATGAAGTCTTCTTGAAAGACATGAAGCAGTTGTGTGTTTGAGCCGCACTGAAACGTTAAGCAATAGTTAGGCTTCCAGAACAGTAGAGCAAATTTTTGTACTAATGCAATTATTTCTTTTGTGCGATCTAGCCACCAATGAAAATCGCTTTCTTTTATAATGTTGAAAATTATTTAATGCATCGGAAAAACCAAACATTTTCCTCTTACATTAAGAAGAGCATATTCTAGAACCTATTGCTCATATATTCAAATAACCCCCTGAGATCTACCATGTTAGACAAATCCTGTAATAACATTTTCGCTGCAGTTATTGACAGATGAATTATTATCTGATTGGCTTTTATTACTTTAGGTGTTGAATAAATGACAGTGGCAAAAATTCTTAAGACTTTTATCCCTCTTGAGTGGGAAGATGTGTCTGCAGTGAACTGCTTGGGAAATCTAGAAAAGGGAATCAATTGCAGATTTTTCATCTCTGGGATATCTAAACAGCTGTCCTTCCAGACAGCAACAGATATCTTTGTACCTCCACCTCTCTACAAAGGAGGCTGCTGGCAGTGAAATCCTTTCCTGCAGGCAGGGAAATATATGTCCCCCAAAGACAGCGATGGCAAAGTTTTCATGTTGCAAAACACCCTCGTTTCCCAGAGAAACAAGAGTACTCATCTATAAAAATTCTAGAAAAAATGTTTTGTAATCCAAACTTAAAATTGAAGATCCTATGTGATTAGTACTTAAAAGACATAGAAATTTATTGGTAAATAGAGAAATACTTCTTTATATATGTCAAAAACATCCAGATGTCTAATTAACACTGTTTTCACAGGCTGCTTCCTAACAGAAAACAGCACTGGAACATGTATAAGAACAAGGTATAATAATACCACCTCCTCATTGTTTGAAATGTATAGCTGTATTAATTACAGATAAAAATTTGTCTGACAAGACAGACAAAAAAATTGAAGTCATACACGGCTATGATTCCTACATTTCAGAATAGTTAGGTCTAGTTTTTAGGTTTGGAATTTTTTTTAATGTTGTTCACCTTTTTGTTTGTTTGGGTGTGGAGGGAATTGTTATTTTTTTCTTTAGATTATGATGGGTTTATAAACCAGTCTTTCATTAAGTTTTGTTTTCATCAAGATTTATGCTTAGAAAATACTGTTACGCTCTAACAATGGTCTTTGAGCTCCTAGCAGCTAAAAGCTGTCTCACTAAAACATTCAAGGTTTCTCAAAATTCACAAAAATTCAATGCAATCTTTATCACCATAGAGAAATGTCATGTCTTTTACCTCTTTTTAACAGATCAGGTTAATTAACAGACAAAGCTATTAAACATCTTTATGTGATACCCTTAAAGAGTTAACTTTATTTACTTTGTTAGTTATTGCATCGAGTTCAATAATGCATCCTGGTCGAGCAGTAGATTGTTGGCTCACAATGTTAAACACTTCCCCAATAAGTTTCTGAAACAGAGCAAAATGAGAAGAGTTATTATATTTCTCCTTCAGACAGAAGGAAATTGCAGCCATTTACAATAAACTGATGCTTTAATTTTCTTTGTTAGCATAAACTGTAACAGACTTTTTCCTGTTAGCATTTTGGCACTTACAGATACTGTGTTTATCAAGACATTTGCACTGTTGTGAGTGTGCAGCTATTCATGGGGATAGCCCACCAGTTTTTATGGAAACTAAATGTTTATTTAAAGATTTATCCTTTCATAACACAACTTAGTATCTGTGTCATGACAAACTTGATTCTAGTGCTTCAGTTTTGTTTAAAGCTTCAGGTTTTGTCACAACGTGTAAAAAACAAACCAGTAGAGCTGATACATAAACTGAAGGCTCTGTTGATTTTTGCTGTGATGTTCACAATCACTGCTCCTAGAAGAGATTCCTCAGACTGATCCGAATATTGACAGTCTGTTTTGCAGGATAGCATATAACAGAAAAATGAGGGGGAAAAAAAAAAAAAAAAAAAAAAAAAAGGAAAGATATGCTGCTTTATACAGTAACAGTGCAAGATCAGGGTTTGCTTTGCTTAGTCACAGAAATGAAAATGAAGAAGGATGAAAAAATTGCTTATTACAGAAGAAATAAGAGCTACTATTACCCTCATCAATAATCTGATGATTCGATTCCTTCCTACCATCTCTGCCCTTCTTTACATATAGATGTAACTTAGGTGGATACACCCAAGTTGCTCTTTTGTCTTCATCTTTCCACTTACCCTTGACTCCCCTCTTTTGAGAAGACTAAGAAATCCTATTTTTCCCTTCCCCACCTGGGGAAATTTTGTTTCTGTCCAGCCACTTTTAGTAGTAATAGCTGCACTTCTGTATGCTAATGTTTACAGACAGCTGGAGAACAACGTACTTATGCAAGGTGTAAGATCCTATACACAGAACGGCACAACAGTTATACAGAATTAATTGAAGAC